GGGATGTCTTTCCATTTTCTGATATCATCTTCAAAAAGAGAGACTTTCCAGAGTGCTATAGTTTTCAGAGAAGAGGTCTTCTATTTTTTTTTGGTAGGTTGATCCCTAGGTATTTCATTTTTGGGATGCAATTGTGAAAGGAATTGTTTGCCCTGTTTCTCTCTCAGTGAGTCTGTTGTTCATGTAGAGGAAAGCTATTGATTTTTGTGTGTTTACCTTCTATTCCCAAACAATTAAAAGAATCATACCACAGTGATATATGTGCACCCATGTTCATAGCAGCAAAATTTTTAATAGCTAAAACTTGGAAGCAGCCCATTTGCCCATCAACTGGAGACTGGATAAAGAAAATGTGTTGCTTTATTAAATGGAGTACTACTCAGCCATAAAAAATGAGAAATTAGAGTCATTTATAGCCAAATGGATGCACATTGAGATGATCCTCTTAAGTGAAATAAATAGAACACACATGTGTAAATACCAAATAATTTCTCTAGTGTGAGAAACTGAAAGTGTAAATAAGGACTAAAAGGTATAATAGATAATGTGAAATAGGAAGAAAAGGGGCAAAGGGGAAGGGGAAGTGGGAGGGGTAGGGGAAAAGAAGGGAATGGAATTAATATGAGAAAAAGAAAAAATGGAAACAAAGTCTTTGTAAATAGGGAGGGAAGGAAGGGTTGAAGGGAGGGCAGGGGAATGGGCAAAAAATAAGAACCAAGAGAGATTATATAAAGGTACAAATATCCAATAATGAATGTCATTATATTGTATACATAAAATGTACCAATAAAATTAATTTAAAAAAAAAGAAATGAGCTATCTCTCCATCTGAGAGCTGCATCTGAATGAAGAAATTAAACTTTAGGGAAAGAAGTGCAGGCAAAGGACTGGATCACTAGGTGCTGCTTGATGCTGTCTAGAGATAGCATGTCAAGCAAAAGGAGACGTGGGCCATCAGCAGCACTGCCTCATGCTTTGGGCTAGCTCCTGTAGCTAATCCAGGTATCTGTTGTTCTCCATAGACTCTTATCTGAACAAACTGAAAACAGGCCCAGGTTCAAATTTAAATCATGCAGATTTCCTTTTCTGTTGAGGACCCTGGTAGAGAAATCCCAACTCAAAGTACTCCCACCACCCTTCTTGCGACCTGGGCTGGTGCGTGATACTGACACCCTCACTGTACAGGGGGGTAAACCAGAGTTCAGAGAGTTCTGGGCAGAGCCAAGGTTTGAACTTGGATCTTTTGATTCTAAGCTAGAACTTCTATTAAGCCCACCAATGGGAGGATTTGCACTTTGACTGGAAGGACAACAGAGGTTGGGGCCAAGTCTCCAGGAGAGTGCTCTGAGCAGCCCTCCTCATCCTGGGAAGCAGGTCCCTCCACCTGCTATCCCTTTCTAGCCCTTCCTTTGTTTCCACTACTTAGGTGGGTGGATGTTCTGCCTTTCCAGATGCCTTGCTTTTCATTCCTTTCCCGTGTTCTTTTATCTCTACTTTGCACACAACTTGTATGTCAGGGTTTCTTTAGTTGCCTAACACTTGGTTGGGCAGCCAGTAACAGAAAGGAGAACAGAATGCACTTTCACATTCAAGGGCAGTAACAGACATAGTCACACCCAAAACTATAATTCAAGTTGACTGTGAGAAATGCTAGGTGTGTCCTTTGTCCTGTGAACCCAGGGAAAGGACCTGGTAGATAACAACTCTCATCTACAGTTCATCTTTCCAGTCCACCTCCTTGCCTCATCTGCTATTTTACCACTGAAAAATTTAGCAAAACAAAATGGTGGGTGGAATTAAAAAAACAAACAAACTCATCAAAAGCATGCTCATGGATAAAACCCATCGGAACAAAACTATCAAGAGAAGCAAATTTCTTTTTCCTATGAACAGGAACACAAAGAAGTGTAGTCTGAATTCAACTAACGGAAACCTGGAAGCATAGAAGATGTGATAAGCTCTGTTTCTTCAGATTCAAGGGAGAGACTCAGTCCTCAGATCTTGGCTGCTGTTCATTTTGTTATTAAATGAGATGTGTGCCGTTTCCATGGCAATGACAATGAGAGTTTTATGGCTTCTTTGAGCACTTGAGAGTCCAAATCCACTCAATTTCCTAAGCAGATCCTGGAGTGCTGGTCAAGACCCTTCTCACAAACCACATGCCAAAGAGAGTGTAGCAAAGGGTAATTCCAGAATTGGCTTAAGAAACTATGGTCACTGGCCTAACAGAAGCTATGCCTCTGATTTCTGTCTTTATGGGTCAGATCACCACCAACAAGAGGACTGTAAGTCCTGCTAAACAGAGGCAGTTAGGGAAGATGCTAGACTCGGGGACTGTGAGAGCTGACAGAGCTGTGTGATCATGCATCACCTTCACCCTCGTAAGGCTTTCTGGTGGCTGACAGGAGCAGAACCTTCACACTTACTGATGTCCCCTTCATACTGAAAACTCATCCTGTGGTGGACTTAAAGAACCCATCCCCCTAAGTTGCTAGAAAACCCCAACAGACAGAACTCAGCTGCCTGGCCTTTAAAAGGTCTCAGAAATCCCACTCAAGGTGGTACTCTCTTCCAGAAGTTGTTCCCTCCAGTGACTCACTAAGGGGAGGTCATGAAGACTCAGGATAGCACTGATGTTCATCACATAGGCCAGATGAGGCTTTGTTAAAAAGCATCACAGCTCAGCCTCACACTCTGCCAAACCTTTCCAGCAGGTGTAGACCATGAGCCATGCTGTGAGAAATGCCCCACCTGCTAATCTCCTTCTCAGATCTCAGTCTGTTTACAGCTGATCCAGCTCAGCAGCCCCCTGGGAAATGACCACCAAGGACATGTCAGGGTTTTTGGACACTAGTTGCAGTGTTGAGCTCTGTAGTCATACAAATCCAATGGGCACCAATGCTTTCATCCTGTTCTGATACCATATTTGAAAGGATATGTGTGTTCATGTTCTTCATCTAACTGTGACAAATTGCAGTCTCCCTGGAGGAGGGATTCATGTACTCACGTGCCAGCTCTATCAGGAGTGACCTCAAGTATCTCTCATTGGAAGCAACCACTCCCTCTCTGAACTCTTTTGCTCTCGGCATTTGGTTTTTATGACCTGCATCATTCATTCACAGCCATTTACTGAATAAAACACACCATGTTCCCTGTGCAGTGCCCAATGCTGGCAATGCAGAGAAGAAAGGTGTGGAGACAAAAGGAGCTCAGTCTATAACAGACAAAAGCAAGTCAACATAAGTTGTATTATTCTTGGTGATATGGTTGGTGATAAGATTGAAGTAAGTGTGATCTGCATCTAGGAGGGTCATCCAGTTGGGCCTGGGGGACATGGGGCTATGACACTAGTAAAAAGTGGTCAGGTAAGACTTCTTAGAGAGGTGGCAGGGAGCTGAGTCTTGCAGGTCTGCTGTTAGACACGAGTTAGCTTCCTATGGCTGCTGTAACAAATTACTACAAACTCAGTGACTTAACACAAACTCTTTCTCTCACAGTTCTGATACTCAGATGTCCAAAATCAGTTTTACTAAGCTATAGTCAAGGGGTCAACAGGGGTCAATAGGGCTGGTTCCTTCTGGAAGTTCTAGGGTTCCTTGTCTATCCACCTTCTCCAGGCTACTTGCATTCATGGTCCCTTCTTCCTTCAGAGTCAGCAACATAACATCTTGCCCTTCATACCTCTAGTTCTATCCTTACATCTCTATCTTTGCTGTTATAAGAACTCTTGTTTGGTGCTGGGCTCATGCAGCTAAACCAGAGTAATCTGCTGATACTAAGAGTCTTAACTTAAGCAGATTGCAGTGACCCTTTTACCAAGAAAGGCAACCAATTTTCAGGTTCTGGGGATTACGATGTAGCTGCCCTTGAGATGGGGCCTTAATCACCTCCAACACCAGTGAGCTCACCCCAGATGGCACTCCAGACAGAGGAGTAAGGAAGGCAGGGAGCCCCGGCCCGTTGTCAGCCATGCAGCTGCAGATTTCATTGAGTGGAAGTATTAGTTCTGAGAGGGGAATGCCAAGGGTCACACTGGCCAGGGAACTGGCCAGGGATACCAGGGAGCTCGTTTTCAGGACATTGGTTTGTTTTTTTTTGTACTGGGGATTGAACTCAGGACCTTGTGCTTTTGAGGCAGGCAGTGGCACCACTGAGCTAAATCCCCAGCCCAGGACATTGGTTTTGAGTGTGACTTATAGCTATTTATGTGTCTAACATTCCTATTATCTCCATAAATGCCTGAGTCAAGATCAAGCTCAATGTTTTCTTGATCCCACAGCAACTCTGTTTTGGTGATGGCCCATGACAAGACTCAGTCCTTTTGTGTGTGACACCAACACATGCCGGATTTGCACCCCACGGTGGCATCGTGGTCTGAGTTTGAGCATCTTTATCTTGGCAGTGTGACTGCTCTTCTCACAGCTCACTGTGTGGGGACATTTCTTGAGCCATTTGTGTGTGGGGCCAAAGGCTGGAGACACCTTTACCATGTCACACAGAGACTGGCAAAGTGATCCTTGTTGAAGCAGGAAGATAGTCCACATTGTACTCTTCTTTCTAAAGAGTCTTCTCATCATATAAAGTTTTTAAGAAGGTTCTGTGGGCAGAGGTGAGCTGCCCATATTATCATAGGCAGCTCAACAGGGGTTGAAATGGGAAAGAAGCTCATGGTAAGCCCTAGGTCCAGACCAGGGCTAAAAGATGCTCAGACTGCAAAATGAGATCCTATCTGTAGCTTAACAAGAGAATATCTGTGAAAGTGCTTGGTAAATTGTAAAGCTTTGCCTGTCCATGAGAAGTAGCTCAATTATTAATATAAACTTTATTTCATAAGGAATTATACTGTTTTCCAATCTCTGGTGCAATAAGAGATAAATATCCTTCTCTCCTAGAATTCTTAGGACTCACTGATGAAATTCCTTGATGATCAATTTGTCCTTTGATGCCCTGGGTTAAAAAAAGTTTTGGTTTTTTTTTCCCCCTCTGCATGTCCTCCCCAGACACTGAAGGATGCCAGTGACAATGCACGCAAGGACTTCCACCGCGAGGCTGAGCTGCTGACCAACCTCCAGCATGAGCACATTGTCAAGTTCTATGGTGTCTGCGTGGAGGGTGACCCACTCATCATGGTCTTTGAGTACATGAAGCATGGGGACCTGAACAAGTTCCTTAGGTAAGGGAGGGTGGAAGGGAAGCAGGGCTTGAAGAGGGAGCTGACTTCTAGCCCTGACAAACAGGTGGCAAGGACAAGAAGTTCTTGGGAAGGGGAACCTTCCTTTCTTTAGAACAGCCCTTCCTCATAACTGTCCTCACAGATGCCAGAGAAAGGAACAGAAGAAAGAGAAGGTTGCATTGTCTTTTTCCTTATCCATCTAGCTCTTCATGATGATGCTAAGGACTTGATTCAACGTGCATTCACTGAGTATTTACTATGTTTCGTAGCATATGCTCTGGAGATGGTTGCCTTAGAAGGTCTCTAGAGGTTTGCAAGTGGGTAAGAGAATATTATTCAAAGCCCAAGACATTGTAAGAGCCACAGTACCAAGGTGTGACAGTTGTGGTCAGGTGGGAGTGAAGAGTCTGGGTTAGCAGGCTGTGAAGCGAACCAGAGGAAAGGCATAGGGAAATAGCTGGAGGGGTTGGGACTGGGAGGGTGTTGTCCGGATTTTACTGTGATAACCAAAGGAACAACCAACCGGTCAGGAGTTCAGGGAACCTACAATAGAAAGAACAAGACTCCCCAAAAGGAAAGGCTTTCAAGGGGAAAGCGAAGGAGGTAGAATAACATTTAATGTAGCCTTTGAAGCTTCTGGATCATGGGTATTGCTGACACCTTAAAGTCATGGAAACGTGAACAGCTTCAGTTTGTGTGCTTTTATGTTAGGCACGGTCTTTAGAAGAAAGTAAGCCAGGAAGAGAAAAATGGCAAATTCCAAAGGGAGTCATTGGGTTATTAGATGTCATTAATGTCACTTAGATTTCCACTGTTGGCCTAATTGGGTTTAGTTTAGCAGTGGCTTCTTAGGAAGTCCCCTTCCTCAGGCATTGGGAGGAGAAGGCACAGGAGAAGCCAGAGAGACAGCTTAGAGTGAGCATAACCCACATGAAGAAAAAGTAAAGGTGCTTTGGAAAGTGAAGCTGACTCCCACAAGGTAAGAGCTTTGACTCCTGAGGGACACAGTGGTAAGGTAACATGAGCAAGGGACTTGTCCTTAGTCACAGGTGAAGGTGAATCTCAGCTCTGGCCATCTCCTAGTTACATATCACAGCTTCGCTGATGAGAATATAGACTGGGCAGGGGGCACTAGAAAGTGCATAGAAGAGTCTTAGCATTGGTGCAAATAGGACACACGCCCTGAGCCTTGGCTTCTGCTGGCAGTGATTGTGCTGGTAAGCCAGCTACCTTGGAAGACAGGTCACAAGAGGAGCTGGGCTTGCTAAGCTAGAGGAAGTCGGTGGTCACCCTGGTGTGGCCCACAGTGAATGTGCCCATCCTATATTTCCCTAGGAAGAGAAAAAAATACACTGTCAGGTATCCCATGGTGAAGGAAGTCATGTGATGTCTTCATCTGCATTAAGCAAAGGCACAAAGGGAAGTGGCATGTGAAACCCTAGAAACCACAGGAGTTAAGAGGTCCCAGTAGTAACAGTGAGGAGACCCAGGCTCTCCCAGGAGGAGGCTGGGTTCTCCTTCTTTTCCTGTATCAGCTGCTGGCATCCCTAAGTGAGTGTCTGCTTTACTCTTTTAAGTGACCTCTACTCTCAGGTGGGTCCAAGTCAGATCTTCTTTAAGTCTTGCTGGTTCTTACATGTATTTCCTTTAAAAACTGACTGGCTCTCTTCTTTGCAAGAATGGCCAGTGTGCTGCCTGGGGTATCTTGGTAGATAGAATAACTTAGGAGAAACAGGAAATATATTAATAATAAAGGCAGACTGGCTACCTACACTTTGGGCCTCAGTTTACTTACCTTTAAAAGGGGTAAAATATGCCTTTCAAGGACAAATGTGAGGGCTGCAGTAAAATCAGTAGCTACTGTCCCTTGACCCTTCATCTGCCATATTTTCCTCTCCAAAATTGTACTCTCTAAAAGCTGTAGCATAGTCCACAAGTACTCACCTGTATACAATTAAATACTTCTGAGTACTTAGATTGTGTGTATGCGTTGTCATTGTTACGGGGTGTGTGTGTGTGTGTGTGTGTGTGTGTGTGTTACAACTTGATTCTTACACTTTCTGGCTCTGTCAGCCACTCACAGGTCTCCTCCCTGTTTTCTGAAGGAGCAGGCACCTGGTTCTCCCTTGGTGTCCTGCATAGGGTGTACAGCAATTGGAAACTTACCCAGCTTGATTTCAGAGTCTGCTAAATGCTGGAAACAAGACTTTTGCCATGCAGAGCTGGGGTCTCAGGTGCAATAATGCCTTGCAAGTAGAGGTTGTCTTCTGCCTGGAGAACACCTGGCATACAGCTGCCACTGATGGTCCACACGTCCTTGGCGCTGCCTGACAAAGGCAGATGTCTTCTGTTATCTCCCCATCCTTTCTATCCATCCAAAAGCTCATACTGAGCACAGCATGGCCAGGCCCTATGCTAGGTAGTGTAGGAAATGAGGAAGAAAACACAATCCTTTTTTTTCAAGGAAAGTGTCTCAGTTTTTCTTTTCAGAATCTCTCCAAAATTCTCCTCTACTGAGGAGAAAGATAAGTGTTTTTCAAGCAATTATACTTAATAATTTATTGAGTATATTTATAAATACTTTATGTGTTTTAACTTGCTTAAATCTAATAAAATATTATCACCATCATTTCCATGTAATGTTTGAGGAAACTGAGTCACACAGTTAGCAAGTGACAGAACCAGATTCAAACTCCTGACTTCCTAGTCCATAGTCTGCTTGACAACTGTGCAATTCATTATATATTGTACATCTTTATGGAACCATCACACTATATCGCCCAAATATGCATCATTGGTATCTTTCAATTAAGTTGTTTTAGTTTAAAATTTTGAAATAAATAATCTCACTTTAATATTAAAAAGCAGAAAGGAAGTAATATGCTGTAGAGTAGCAGAACAAGTGCGGTGTGGTGAATTGCTGGCCACAGCCACAACCTGTTCAGGGACAATGGTCAGGGATGGCTGAGCACCTACAGGTCAGGCCCTGGGTACCTGCTGCTTGCTCCCCAATCCAGGGTGGTGGTGCATTTCCACCCTTGAAGAGAGTTCTCCTGGAAGGCAGGACTTGCATCTTCACTTCCAAGAATTGCAGGAGAGAAGGCAGAAGCCACTGTCTCACTTTATTGATGCTCCTTTTCAGAACTTGTTCAGAAGCCCTCCTTCTGGAGCAGGACTTTCTGCTCCAAGAATGTGTCCTGAGGCTTCTGCACATGCCTAGTGTAAGCAGCTCAAACGGTTGTTTAAGGACGCAGGAGCATCCCCTAAGCCATGAATGCTAGGATGAGGACAGCCTGCTCCTGGAGGGCCACCAGGCTCCTGGAACCTGCAAAGTGGAAGGCTGCAGGAGGGAACCTTACACAGAGGTGGCCTTTTGTGAAGGTTTCAGGTCTTTCTTCTGCCCAGAAGTCATGCTTCTGACCATGACTGATTCATCCAGTTTTCTACAGCTACAACAGGCTGTGCCCAAATTATTTCACTGAACTAAGTCTACGAAGCTTGCCTTCTGGCCAGATTCTCTAGGTCTTTATTTCAAATTTCCCATTATGTGCACCCCTAGGTCCTTCTCCTGGTATTGAGATCTCAGTAGAGTGAAGAAAGAGGAGTGAAAACATTCTGAACTGTCCCTGCCCCTGAAACCAGTGGTCCTCAACTTTTTGGCCCCAGGGATTGGTTTCTTGGAAGCCGGTTTTCCACAGACAGGGGCAAGGCAGTGAGGAGTAGGGCTTGGGGATTAGATTCTCATAAAGAACACACAACCTTCCAAGCAGTTCACAGCAGGGTCTGTGCTCCCATGAGATGAAAATGCTGTTGCATCCCACCAAGGTGAAGTTCAGGCTGTGATGTGAGCAGAGGGAGTGGCTGTGAATTCAGAGGAAGCTTCATGCCCTGCCCCCCACCATTGAGTCCTGCTGTGCAGCTAGGTTCCCAACAGGTCACACATGGGTTCTGGTCTGTAGCTCAGGTATTGGGGACTCCTGCTCTAAAGAGTTAGACTTGATTAACTGTTAGTGAGAGGATACTTTGTGTTAGCAGAGAGTAATTTGTATTTTATCACATGTCCATATCTTTTTCAGAAAAAAAGAGGGTTTTTTGGAAAGCTCTTCCCTCTGGCTTTTCTATGAAAGGCCAAGAAGCATTATACAGTCTCTGTTCCTTCTCACATCAAAATCCTCAAAGATGTGCACTTAGTATCATCATTTTATGGAATGAAGAAACAAGCCCAGAAAGGTTATTTCACTCAGAGTCACACAGCTCTTCTGTTATTCAGATTCAGTGTTGATACTGTCACTGGGCTTTGGGTACTGGAGTCTTAGACTTAGAGGTGGTTTCTGAATTCTTCTTGTCCTGAGCATAGAATTGGTCAAGACAAGGACAAAAGGTAGCGAAGTTCTGTATTTATTAAAAGTAGGAAAGGAGATGAAAGATGCTCTGTAGAGTGGGTTTGGGCCAACTAAAGGTAAAGAAAGATGTACCCAGCAACCACAAGGTTGACCACTGAGAGATGACAGTAGCCCTGGCTTGATGGTGGCTGCATTTGTATCTCCCATAACTCAGGCTGCTGTCAGGTCTAGGCCAACCTATTAAAAACCTGATCGAGTTCTCCTAAGAAGAATTGAAGACAGCACTGTCTGGTTCAATGTGTAGGGCTTTAGGAACTATTCTGTGCATGTATGCTGGATCTCTGTGATCAACAGGCCATGCTTACTTGACTAGCCGGTTTGCCACACCCTAGTTTCCTGCCCATAGCTTTGCCCTCTGGATTGCTAGACTTGTTACCTTCAGAGAGATTTTGAGATAAAGAAAGGCTAAAGCATTTCCTCTGTGTTATTCCTCACCATGACAAGAGGCAGTTGGACACTGTGGTTTGAGTAGAGATAAAATATGTTAGAACCTTCCTTGTACAAAAATAGCAGACTCCTCCCTAGGGAATAGTTAAATCCAGGTATTTATAGACAGGAGGAACCAAAGAAATCACCAGGTACCCTTTGTATTTCTGACTAATGAGGAAATTGGAACTTAGAGAAGTAAAAAGATTTCCCAAGGTCCTGGTGCAAGATACCGGTGGCACTAGGAGGCTCCTTGTCCCCAACACTTTGTCCAGTGATTGTTCTTTGAGGATGCAAAAATGAAAATCTGGTGAAGGCAAGCCTTAGAATCAAAGAAAGAGACTGACTATGGGCTGAAGCTGTCATGGAAGGGGGAACATACCCATGGCTAGAAGTATTTCCTTGGAGAATTCTGGCTTTCTCACTTTTAAATACTCACATAGTTCTAGAACCTTGCAGATGAAGTCGTCCACTTTAAAATTTATTAAAAATGCTCTACATATTGCAGTGCTTTGAAATGTCTTGAAGACTTTTCCCTCCTTTATTTTCCTATGCAAGCAAGAAGCCCTCCATTCCTTGTCCCACAGTGCCCCCTCAGGGCATGTGGGGCAGTGATTCTTACCTCAGTAGCTCAGAAGAGGATTCTAGATCTAGGACTTCCATTGCTGTTGACAAAAACCTAAGACAAAAATCCTCCCCTTTCTGAAGCACATGCACTATTACAATGCCCTAAGTTATCACATAGCTTGGGAAAAGCCAGGTATGCAAAACAGAAGAAAAAGAAGATTAAAAAATATACCATAACTCCACTTTCATAGTTTAAAGAATCAAGCTTGCCCCAGTGATGGAATAACTGAGTGATTCAAGGGAGATCTCCTGTGTGTTTGCCAGGTGTGTGTGGCTCACAGGTTTAAGGAGAAGGTAACCTGGATGAAGTGGTATTTTTCACTGGGAATGAATGTCCTGGCTGAGGACACTCTGGGGCTCTGCTGCACTGGGCAGGAGGACACTGACAACCCTGTGTGGCCACAGATGAGATAGACTGAAAGCTCGGGTGCTGGTGGTGATCCCTGGATGCATCATTTTGGGGCTGGGGTGCTCTCTGCTGTTCAAGGCTTGGTGGACAAGACAGAAACCTCTGCTGGGGTGCTCTGGCCATGGCTTTAGGAGAGCCCCTCTCCCCCTTCATTTTCCTTCATTGGGCCCATCCTCTGTTTCTCAGTGTCAGAGGCTCTGGCCAGGGTTCTGAAGTCCTCAAAATCCAATCCTGCCAGCATCAGAGTAGGGGCACCAGGCAGGCTCGCACAGCCCTAGAATTCCACACTTGGGGAAATGAAGTGGCCTAGGGCCCCTAGCAGCTTTGCAGGTAAAGCCGGGTGCTTCCGTGTGCTCACGCAGGCAGGAGCAGAAGTGAGGCTTGCAGACAGCCCCTCAGGTCAGAGCTGTGCCTCCAGCAGTGCCTCCCCTCCGCGTCCTCCTCAGGGCACATGGACCTGATGCAGTGCTGATGGCCGAGGGCAGCCCACCCACGGAGCTGACACAGTCACAGATGCTGCACATCGCCCAGCAGATCGCCGCAGGCATGGTCTACCTGGCATCTCAGCACTTCGTGCACCGTGACCTGGCCACTCGCAACTGCCTGGTGGGGGAGAACTTGCTGGTGAAGATTGGGGACTTCGGGATGTCACGTGACGTGTACAGCACTGACTACTACAGGGTGAGTGGCTCTTTTTTTCCCACTGTGCCTGTTTGCTGGGGCTGCCATACCAAAATAGTGCAGACCAGGGGACTCAATAGAAATGTATTCCTCACAGTGTTAGAGTCTGGATGTGCAAGATCAGGGTGTAGCAGACCTGCTTTCTTCTTGCCTGCAGGTAGCTGATTCATTTTGTGTCCTCACTTTGTTTTTAATGCATCTGGGCCCCTGGTGTCTCCTTTTATGTCCAAATCTCCTCTTATAAGGACGCCAGTTATGTTGGAGTAAGGCCCTCCCCTCCCTGTGGCCCTTTTTTTCCTAATCACCCCTTCAACATCCCTGTCCAAATACAGTCACGTTCTGGAGTACTGAGGGAAAGTCTTCAACATATAAATGTCAGGGGGACACAGTTAAGCCCTCCTGCCTTTCCATGCCTCTCCAGGGTAGTGTGACATCCCCAAGAGGTAAATCCTCAATATGAGAATTCCCAGCGGAATCTGAGGGCTTGGGTAGATTTCCAGTAGGCATGAGGCTACAGGATTTAGAAGCTTAGGTTTAATTCTGTACATTGGAGCCTTTGTTCTGAGTCTGAACTAAGGTAAATTTACTCACGTGAATTATAGTATACTAAATTTTGGAAGCTCTCTCATGGAACTACCTTGGTTGAAAGTGGTACAGCTGGTGGCCTCTAAGTGAGATATGAGAGATTCTGTCTTGCTGTTCCTAAGTAGTTCTGTCCAGCCTGCCAGTGGTTTTTCTGCTAAAACCAATGCACGGTGGAATTAGAGGCAGGAATTCAAATCCCCTGATGACCTTAGAATTGGCCTCCTGGGGATGTTAGATGTGCTAACTGAGATCTTGGAAACTTAAGATGATAGAAAGGGACATTTCTAGAAATTTTGAAATCGATAGAGTGGAGGTTTGGGGTGGTGTTATACCACCTCATTCTCTTTGATCTTCTTGTTTGTGTTGCTTGACTTCCAAGGAGGGAGGAAGGAAATAGCAAGGAAGGGAGAAGGGAATAGCATTCTGGATGTGTATGGGCTAAGAGGAGAAGACATACAGCTTAACTACCTTTCATAGAAAGGTGGGACAGGTGAAGGTTAGGCCTCTCCTCACCTTTGCTCTTCTCATGATTGCTCATTTTTAGGAGGTGTTTTCTCAGTTTATTTCCTGCACCCATGTGTAACCTTCAAGACCTCCAGTACTTGTACATTTTAGCAGAGCCAACTTTGCAACAATTAGTTTAAGAAAATTAACCTATGGCCTGCATATTCTTCTGTAGATTTTTTTGTGTGTTTTTTTTCTTCGTCACCTTGGTAAGAATTGTTCATATTTTGTGCTGTAAGAAAGAACAGAAAGCAAATTGAAAAGGATTATCTTGAAAAATACAGAAGAACCAGCTTTATGTTGGCCTCTTTTTTTGGTGGGAATGTGCAAGAGCAGTGGGGAAGTGACTGATAGATGGGAGATCTGACAATTGGAGAGAAGCCTATGAAAACAAAGAAATTAATTTTATTTAACTTCTAAAATTTTGGAATGATAGTCTACCTTTTGGTTTCATGAAAGTATTATAGGGGGAGTTTTTCTCATTGAAGTAACATATCTGTGAATTCCATTCTGTTGAGTTTATCAAATGGACAAGCAGAAGTGTTGCTGGGTTTTGCAGAGCACCAGTGTGTCTGCTGATCTCACAGCACTCTGGCTTCCACATCACTTATCCCCCATTGGATCACTTACAAGCCTAGCCTTAAGCTTGTTCCCATCATAGTGTCTCCTCATCTTCTCTGTCATCGAGTGCTTTCCTTATGGCTAAGGTTTCTCACCTGCCAGCACCTTAAGTAAGTTTTTCTTCCTTGTCTTATCCCTGTCCTCTTCAACAGCCTACATTAAATGCCAAGGTGAAGAACTAAAATAGCTGATCACCAATGTCAAGAATCCTTTCTGCCAGAGTCATGAGGGAGGTGTTTTATGTTTGCCTAGGCTCTCTTGTATGGAAGAATGGTGATCAGAAATGGAGTCAACCAAATGGATGTCCCTTATCTTTAGGAAAGAACTAAAGCACTAGAAACCCAAGCCTTCTATTCATAGTGGCTTGTGAGCTGCCTTGTGTGGGGCCCAAGTCTCTGTGCCATCATGGTGGGAGTGGCTGGTAGCAGATGTTCCTCCATCACAAGGAAGCTACCAGAATTGGAAAACAGCTTTCACTTTGTTGCAGCAGAGCTAATTATACCTTCCCAATAAAGGGAGAAATTGGAACACTTCATTTGCATTGAAACCAGCCTGACATGGTGGGTCCAAACTTACTCTAGCGTTTATGTTCCTTGAATTGTTTTAATTAGCAGCTCCGCAGTACCAGTCTTCAATTTAGCTTTTTCATTTCTTCCCTTCTCTGGCAAAACCTGACATTTAGGAAACATTTGAACCAGATTTCTATCACTTTCTGCCTGTTGGAGACCTACGATCTCGCTCTCCTTGTTCATTACCATGCCACTAGGGATACTTTCAAAGAAAATTTTTAATGTGCACATTTGTAGTTTTCACTGTTTGGATCTGATATATTCTTAAAATTAATGTGATCTGTTGGTCAGTGGAGGACCCCAAACATTGGAAATCATAGCTTTTAAGTCATGGTTTCCTTTGGTCTCCTATAACTTTATGTTGTGGTGATGAGAAATCCCATCCTTTAATTCATTTTCCACTTAAGAAGAAAACAAGAAGCAGAACGGGTAAGTTGATTCATGGTAGACATTTAAAGAAGCAGATGAATATAAGTTGGCTTAGCAAGGCTGTGGTCAGAATCCTAGCTCTGAAATGGTACTAACGGCAAAGTCCAAGAAATCATTGTCAGGTGCTCAATATGAGTTTATTACCTGCAGGGAGAAAAGAAAAAATCTCATATTAAAAACCAGCTGTGGCCTGGGGATTTAGCTCAGTGGTTTTGCCACCTGCTGCACAAGTGCAAGGACCAAGTTCGATCCCTGGTACGAAACAAAACAAAACAAAACAAAAAAACAGCTGATATTAACAATTAACCAGTGAACTGACTGGGAATTCAGTGCCTTCTCCCCAGTCCTGCACTGCTTGGAGTTAGGTGGTTAGTGAACCAGAATATGAAGTCCTGAGTCACAGAAGGGAGGAGAGGTTTATATAAGAATTGGACAAGCAGATGGAAAATAATCAAGAGTTCAGTATCATACCTTGATCTTTAAAAAGAATGTGTTTATTTTTAAGGAATATTTTTATGTAATGGGAGCTTTTTTGGATAGGTAGGTAGGTAGGTATACTGATAGGCTCATTCCAAAAGTGTTATTAGGGTCTCGTATAATGTACCAATGCCATTCGCTCTGTGAGGAGCAGTATAAGGGCAAATTCCAGTTTCACCTCCTCTCTCAATTCCCACAAGCAGAGCTATTGCTCACAAATCTGTGATCCCTCAATACTTTACACAAACAGGTATTCCAACACATAGCCCCTGGTCTCATCAAAATTGGTTCATACCTATTTCTCTCTTGTCTTATACAGGACAAGAGATCTTTGTATCTACCCAAATGGCACAATGTGTAGTCACATAGTAGGTGATCAGTAATAATTGTTGAACAAGACACACATTATTATGAAGACTTTCTTGGAGTGTGTCTTTCTAATCCTGTAGATGAACACAGAAGTTACTCAGATCTACATTTGGCTTTTGGCTCTAAATTCAGGAAGTAAGGCTAAGGATTTAGAAACATCTTCATCTCAGACCATTTCTTTTGAGCTCAGGGACAAAATTTACTTCCACTGATTACTACGGTAGGAAAACTTCCTGGGTATATTATGCCTAGAACACTTGAAACCAGATGCCAGGGGCAACTCAAGAGCTGAGAGCATTCCCTTGTGTCATTAACTCTGATCTGCATGTATCATTTCCTTATTTTCCCTGCCACTCTATAATACCAACACAATGACTCTTAACTTTCACATGCACAATTAGAGACCTTTCTGTTTGGGCTTTTTTGATTAAAGTGGCCTTGCAAATATAAGAGATTGTGTATTTTATGAAGTCATCTTCAATCCATGTCTCTCTCAACACTTAGAGGGAGCACAGTTCAGAGGAACCTCTCTGCCAGGGAGGAATCAGAACATTGAGTTCAGACTAAATCTATATTAAACTGGATTTGCAAAAATTGTTTCAAGATTCTAAACTGGTTTAATTTGTATTCAAACTTTCCTAAGAACCTTTTATATATGCTTTGGATTTGCAACAGGGGATGTATGAGAATCCTCTCATTCATTCATTCATTCATTTATTTATCCAACACTTTTTTAAACAACTACTGTGTTAGCTATAGTAGATAAAAAAGAAAAAAGACAGATGGGCTCTTCTTGGACATTTAAATACAATGAGATAAATGAGAGAAATGCTGTAATAGAGATGTACTGGGAACTCCAAGGAGAAAATTTCTAGTCTCCTTTGGGAAGTCAAAGTAGGGTTCGTGGAGACAAGATCGAGCTGGTACCTATATGTGAATCCCACTGTTCTATTGATTCAGGCTGGGGAGGGGGACATATGAAGTACAAGTATGTAGAGTGGCCATGTTGACACCACAGTGTGTGGTGTCTAAGGAACGGTGACTCCTTTGCCTTGCTTCTGAGACAATTTAGCTGTTGTCAGATTTTACAAGGGCCCCGTTGGCCACATCAACGGACTTCACCCTTTGGTAGCAGGAGCCCAAAGGGCGAAATGGCATAACAGATCCATCATGTATAGGCACACCTGAGTTCTAACAACAGATTCCCCCAGCAGATGCCAGCATCGTCATCCCAACCTATGTGATTTGGCTATAGCAGCTTCTTACTTGGGTCCACATCTCTCTGTGGGTGTGTTTCAATAAGAGACCCATGGTCAGGAGTTAGCATCATTTACCTGGCTACAGAAACTCAGAGCCCTTCATCTCTCACTGAGAGCTGTGGCCTTCTAACAGAACTGCAGAAAGCTGCAGAAGCCAGGATGGAAGAGTGAGTATAGAGGTCCATTG